CAACCCCCCGCCGGGATCTCACCTGAGCCACAAGGACAAGGCCAAGCCGAAGTATCCCGTCCCCGCGGGCCCGGACTCGCACCGCACCGAGCTCCACGGCGGCACCCCGGCCCTCAACTTCCCCAACGAGGTCTACTCCGATCAGAAGGTGGGAGTCCATCCATCGTGAGGAATAAGGTAACAGGCAGATGATGTTGGATATTGGAGCGCACAAAACGGTTTTAAAAAGGAGAATGAGAAATACAGATATACCTATGTACACAGGAGAAATAGGTAGTAGTTTGTAGTAGGCTCACTCACATCAACAAAGAATGGAAAGAAGAGGGGGGGAAACGACATTCGTGTCTAATAACCCGCATCTCCACGATGCTTCTTATTAGTTTACTTGGTATATGACGCGTGGGGTGAGAATGACCCTCGACTTGAAACATGAACTGAACAGCGGCGTCGCCCACGACAAAAGCGCCGACGATATCCAAACCCGGAAACCCGCTCACACATCTGTCCAGCCAGGCAAGGAGAAAAGGAATACCTATTATAAAGTAAAACACCGCATGCTCACTCACTCACTCCAAGGCCAAACCGCCAGCTTTGTTGAATGTTTTCCCAATACATGCATGCCCCGGGGTATGTTGTGTAAGGTATGCATGTGCCGTATAAAAATCGATTCCGAATTAACTCTTGTTGAGAAAGAAAATGATGCCATGCCATGCTCCGCCCAGTTGATGATAAACATGATGCGCACGACGTGCAAACAAACACGAAAACCACTCCCAGGAAAAGAAAGAAACCGCTCCATCCACCAGCCAACGAAACAGCAATTGAACAAGAGAGAAGAAGAGAAGAAACACTGCGTTATCCCCGACATCACGAGCTCCTGCGCCCATACGGCTCAAACGGAAAGAGGATACTCACCACGCCCATCGCAACCAGCAACGCCCCGCAGATATAAATCGGCGCGCTGGTTGACGTGTCCGAGACGGTGGCGATGACGGCCGACAGGATGCCCATGACGCGATTGCACGCTACCGCGACGCCGTTGCCCGTGGCACGGTGGGCGCTGGGCAGCACCTCGGGCGTGTAGGCGTACAGGGTGCCGTAGTAGATGTTGAGGCAGAAGCCGATGACGCACGAGAAGCCGACGTCCTGGGCGCCCGTGCGGACCGACGTGTACGCGAAGAAGAAGGCGGCCGTCAGCAGCGCGCCCGTGAGCATCGTGTACTTGCGCCCGAGCAGCGGCTGGTTGCACATCCAGCCGGCGAGGACGGGCCCGAAGATGGACACCACGTTGGTTAGCGCGTAGTTGCGCCACGAGTCAAAGGTCGACACGTTGAGATTCGCGCCGCGCGAGGCCAGGTAGCTGGGCAGAAAGACGTAGAAGAGCGGGTAGGCGAGCCCGACCATGGCCCAAGAGAGCCAGATTAGCCCCGTCGAGAGGGAGATCTTGGGCGTGGCGAACAGCCCGCGCAGGTGTACGAGGGTTTCGCCCAGCGAGAAGCGGTTTTTGCTGTGCGCGCTGGTGACCACGCCGCAGGCGTCGAGCTTCTCGACAGTGAGCGTGCACGGGCGGTTGTACTTGGTCGCGAGGAACTGGAAGGTCTCGACGACCTTTGCGTCGTCGCCAAGGCCGAGGAGGTATTTGGGAGTCTCCATGAGGCGGATGATGGTGATGCGGAGGATTGACATGACAAAGACAAGCGCACCGCTTGTGAACAAGACGTACCGCCAGCCCATGTTGTTGTCCTTGGTGCAGCTTTCGACAGATGCGCAGTTCCAACGCTCCGGAACTGTGGAAGACAAGCGAGGTGAATTAGCATCAGGGGCACTCTCTCTCTCTCTTGCCGTCTTACGGGCAGGTATCTTGTCCACTCACCAAGGAAGCCCCAGGCGATGAAACCAGTGATGGCTTGGCCGAATCCCCACCATGCCGCCAAGAGAGTCAAGACCCATTGCTTGCTGCTCGGTAGGTATTCCAGGAAGACAGTCGTATCCAAGATCAGATTGCCGCCTCCGCCAAAGCCGACGCAGGCTATCCAGAAACCCAGCGACGCCCAGTTGGGCATCCCGCCGGCGATGATGGCAGATATGGAGCAGATGAAGAGCGAGATGTTGAAAGCATAGCGGCGCCCAACGATGTCGGCGCTAACTCCCCAGAACAAGGCGCCAGTGAGCATGCCCGTGTAGACAGCGATAGTCAGGGCTCGCTCATATCCAACTTTGCCAAACTCGCGGTAGGCCGAGCCGGCGATGACGGACTGGGTGAGCAGGACGAGGGAGTCGACGGCATAACTTGGTAAGCTTGGTCAGCTTGGATAGAACGACACGTTTGGGGGCCTCCTTCTTCTCCTCCCTGGACAAGATTTACCCAAAACCATTGAGGAAGAAAAGCTTTGTGTGGTACGGCGTCCATCCAATCTCGTCGATGGCCTGGAACAGGGGAATGTAGGTTAGGCAACCGGCAAACACATCTAACGACGTTCCAGTCGATCCCGGCTTACGTCGTTCACCAAGTGCATCTTGCGGTTCATGGCAGGGTCAAGATCCTGCAGCGCCAGAATGTCCTCGCCATGGAGAGAGCCGCCATCGGCTGCGGGCAAGTCGGAGGTGTCCTCGCGCAGCTCTATTTCCTTGCGGGCTGGATCCAGCTTCGGGCTCTCGGCGGTCTTCATGATGCCGTTGGTGATCGGACGGGCCCTTCGTTTGTGTTGCGTGGCTGAAGGGCCAAGGTCGATCGGTCCGGGATCGATGTTCGGGATGCTGGGCTATGATGAAGATACACGACTGTGGTATGTCTAGCCTCTTATGTATATAGAAAAGATATAGTCCCTGTCCAAGGTTGACCGGAGCAAGCGATGCAGGTTGCGGATGTTGGTCATAAACGACGGCCTGGGTAGTGAAAAAGAGACAAAAGGAAAACGGAGAGACGGAAGATGGGCAGCCATGTACTTTATAGCTGCCAGTCAGGAGTGAAGAATATCTACGGCAGATAGGTAGTAGGTAGTGTATCTCAGGGAGTTAGTGTAGGGAATATGCAGTGTGAAGGCCAAGGATGCATGTTTGGCCGTAGATAGGATGAAGGTGGTGGGGGACCGGGACTGGACTGGACCGGGGTGGGTAGGAACCAGCGAGCTCGAAGGAAGGACGAGCTTGAGAAGAACCATACCCACGGCTCCGGTCAGGCGGGTCACGGTAGTTCCTCTGGACTGGCGTTGCATTGGCTGCAGGAAGTAGCACTCCATTTGACTTTATCGCCCGTGTAGTCGGATGGAGGGAGGGTAAGGGCAACCTGAAAGTAGGGATGGAATGCAGGTGGCCAAGTCAGGTAGCCGTCGCCCTCCCGTACCTTGGTGTTGGACGAGCTAGATGATGGCCCCGTGCCAACGTGTGGGAGATGGGGCGTGATGATTTGTCGTGCAGGACAATGGAAGGATGCATGAAAGCCATGTTAACGAGACAAGGAAAGGAAGCTGGAAGCAAGGTCAGATAGATACTACCTGCCCGTGGATGCCACCATCGAGAAACTCGTCTGCCCGAGCTGGTCGGGATTTCCATGCGACTGCTGGAACATCAACGCGCTGTTGGTTTGACTTTGAGATGGAAGGTATGACGAAAAGGAGATAGCGGTAGGCTCGTCTTGGGGCTCCCACGCCGGAGCCCCCAACAATAACGATCTTGGAAGCTAGGGCATCCACTTTGCCCACTTCGATGCATGAGACCAAGGAGGGACAATCTCGAAAAGATGAAAGGAAGGCGATGCACCTAAAGCACGCTTAGACCAGCCGGCAGGCCCTGCGCCGGTTGAACCTTAGCTGATCCGGTCAGAACGCTGGGACGGTAGAAATAAGAAAGTCGCCGATCGCTGATCGATGATCGTTTCCTGGGGCCCCGGATGCTTTCTTTGGGTTGGGCAAGCTTGAGGGCAATGGGAGGTCGCGACAGGGAGGTGGGCGGTTGGACCAGAAACTCGGAGAGATTCCGTGATCAACCGTCGCGCTGCATTCTTCTGCGTCCCATTGCTGCCTCTCGAGAATCTCACTGCAGATCGGCAATTGGAAGATTGGCACCAGCCATGGGAAGAAAGAGAAAGTGGTGAGGCTCTAACCTGTTTCGCGTCGCCAACAAAAAACAAGAACGGAGACGATTGCATGTGATTGCGATTCCAGTCTTGACGGATTAAAATCGAGGTCGAGGAATGGAAGGCAGCAATCCAGCGTCGAGCTTGCATCCTGGAAGTGAGGGGGACCCCTGCTGACTCAGAGGAGCTTAACCCGTAACAGGAGCGGGAGCAAGCTTTCCCCACACCACGGCGCCTTCCCTGCAAGCCCTAACGGCTCGCATGTGCTTTCCGTGCGTTGCGCCGCTTCCATCGTTCTCAAGGACTCCATCTCGCACGACAGGGATCGTTCACGATGCCTTCAAGTGCTTTGGGAACCACCAAAACATACAACACAAGCAATAATCCCTCGTGGCGCAATTGGCTAGCGCGTCAGACTGTTAATCTGGAGGCTGAAAGTTCGACCCTTTCCGAGGGAGATGTATTTTCTCTTTTTGCTGATTTGCCCTTAAATGTCTTTCTTCTTTTATCGTTTGCGCTGTCCAATGGGCATGTACTTTTTTTGTTTTGTTACATACAGGACGTGCTCATTGTTATTGTTTGCATTTCAAGTTAAGTGCTGCTGTTAGGACGAAATGGAATGAATGGCTGTGACATCTCGTCCGGAACTTCATTTTATCCAATTTTGACAAGCCCATTTATTACATCTCCTAGCTATACGAGGTAAAATAAGAAAGAGAGAGCAAAGGAGGGGGGAAATAGGCAAGAAGTATAGAGACAAACACACACCTTTGCTTTGCTTCCAGATTTGTTACCGTCAGATTCCTTCCGTTCCCAATACAAATTGACCATACATACGCTCACTCCATCGTATCGGGTGGACAACAAAAGAAGAAGAAGAGCATTTCAAGAACGGGATACGTTACGTGAAAACAGCAAAAAGATGTGGATGCACCCGGGATTGAACCGGGGACCTTTCACAGGTTATCCGCAAGTTAATGCGAAGCGAAAATCATACCACTAGACCATACACCCTTGTAGACACTTTCTTAGACAGGAAAGGCTGCTATTGTTGAGTTGGTTGGCCAGTAGAGTAGTATATGACGCCACCTCGCTACCGAGCTGCTGATCTGTGCGCGCCGTCGACAAACAACCACAGCCATTAACGACGCAGGCACCGATCAAGCACCACCACCACCATCCAGTCTACCCAATATCGACGGTAGCCGAAACCTCAAAGTACTATCACCCTTATTGATGAGCAACGCAAAATAATGGCCCGATCCGACGAAGCGGCAGCATTCTTCCACGCCGTCTACAGCGCCGTCCAGGAGATTCCCCACGGAAAAGTGACGAGCTACGGACACATTGCGAAGCTAGTGGGAACCCGTGAGTCGTGGTCCTTTCTTTTTTTTCTTCTTTTCTTTTACGTCAAGATGAAGTTTTCTTTAGCTGACCCATTTCACCGCTGCAGCACAGCGCCCCCGGCAGGTCGGCGTCTGCCTGAAGCACCTTCCTTCAGACCCGGACGCGCGCTTCAACCACACCAACGTCCCGTGGCAGCGCGTCATCAATGCCAAGGGTGTTATCTCTCCGCGGTTAGTGATCACTTTCTGTCCGTCAGCCTTATACTTGGTTTCTTTTTCGATTTTGTTTGTCCTCTCCTTCTCTTCTCGTTCGCAAGGGCATTCAAAAGCACTGCAAGGGAGCCAAGCCATGGCACTCGATCAAAGCACCTCATCCCCTGTTTAGCATACAAGAAATGCATACAGAAATGAGTAAGGATAAGGATAGCAAGTACTTGGCTTTCTGACAATTTCCGCCTTCGTCTAGGTCCCAACCATCTGGCTCGCTGAATCAAGCTGCCGAGCTGGAAGCAGAAGGCGTGACGGTCACGACGGGCGCCCTGGGTGAACTCATGGTTGACCTCGCTGAGTTTGGATGGTTTCCCCGCATTCTCCCCTCCGAGGCTGCGCAGGGTGCAGTGCCTGACGATGATGACGATGACGGCGACGACGGTGATGATGATAGTGAGGATTGAGAGGCCGTTTAATCCATTTGGGCAGACACACCTCCATCAAGGGAGCACGTACATGTAGTCCAGAGCCACGACCCCAGGTCTCGATAACGAATTGGATTAGGACTTCAGTTCTAGGTTATAAGCGACGTGATATACTTGCTACGACATTCATTCACCGAGGTTGAAATGGGAACATGATTAACCGAATGGGCGTTATCGTAATAGAATATACCGTTGACAGCAGCTGCAGCATGAAGCTATCAGGAGATCCATCAAAAACACGAAGTAGTCATTCTTTAGCAAACGAAATTTAATACAGTTGATCACACATCACCTGAGCTTAACCTAGAAGTTAGAATGCGCTTTCGTCAAGACATTTTGCTTGAGGCTATGTATGCCCAAGTCCAGGTTCGTCCCTCTGTTTAAAGGGTAGCAGTGAAATAGCATTGGCAAGCTATAATTAGTTACACGAAAGGGGTCAGAGAAATAGACTATCTCGGTGATTCGAACCTGAGGTCGAGAAGCTAAATGTTATCTAACATAGATTCTTATCTATTGGCCTTTTAGAAACCTGGAACACAAGTTTTAATATTTGGTAGGAAGTGTATTAATTATCAGCCACCGCAAACACTTCGAGGCTGTCTATTAATAAATCAAGACCTGAGCTGGATGAAAACATTCTTTCTTGAGGAAATAACGTATTTGATAAGCGAGTGGATCGGACAAGCGAGTGGATCGATTTTAACTACCCTATTACAACTATCCTCCATTGCAAAACAACAACACTTAGAACCAACTATAATTACATTAGAAACAGCTGAATCAGATGATTCTCCAACCTCCTGGCAAGTGCGGGCATTATGGCCAGGCTTGCCGCACACACCACAGCACCGAACCTTCGTACGACCCCCCCCTGCACCACCACTACCCGGCTGCATTTCTTGCACTCCCTCTCCACTCACTGCCTTCTGGTCCAATAGATCGTGTGCATCTTGTATAGCAAGTGATCCCCCAAGCCGTACACGGGTTTTTTTTGGCTCTCCGGCGCTTGCTTAGTGCCTCGTTGGCCTTGCGAAGCGAAGAGACCTCGGAGCGCAGGAGAGCCACCTCATGCATCACAGCCATCGTACCTTTAGTAAGCTGGTCCACAGCAGCCAACATTGAAGTCGGGGAGCTGTTTTGATGGTTGGCAATCCGAGTCTTGATAAGCGTTGACTGTGAGTTGGCTTCTCGGGGGTTGTGGGGGGTGATATCGTCATCCACAATGCCGTACTTGGCCTTGACATTCCGTACGAGGGCAAACCACTCGCTAATGACCTTTGGATCCTCGCACTTCGCCCTCTGGTAGTCGTATCTACGCGAACGACGCGTATCGATCTCTGGCTGGCGTATGACGAAGTTGTGTGCCCAGCGCTTGCCGACAGGGGGCGCGTCGCGTTCGCGTCGTAGATGGTTGGCCATATCTTCTACACTACGCAATGTAGGAGGGAATGCACGCGTAGATAGCTCAGTAATATACTGAACTATAGTCTTCTCTTCCAAATCCGTCAGACAGCGTGAGTTGGCTGGAGTATCGCGTCGTGCAGGTCGGCCAGCGCGTCGGCGATGGAGGGTAGCATAAGGCACAGAGTAGAGCCTCGCTGCAGCTTTGAGGCTTAACGTAGGGTCGTTTTTAAGAGCTTCAAGTGCAAGAACAACTTTTGCCTCAGCTGTAATTGAAGACATCTTGGTGTGGTGGAGGAAATTGATGTTGTAGGTAGAGAGCTGTGTCGCGTGCGAAATCGATCCACTCGCTTGTCCGATCCACTCGCTTATCAAATACGTTAACCAATTTAAACAATTTCAAATAGCCCATCTCTGTTCTTATCTCCAAGCCATTATATTTGCTTTTGTCTGCACTACAAAACGCCAGACCAGATCCTTAGCTAGGTCCTGAGCCTGTTTCCGCAGTGCTGGGTTGTATGACATCCGGTGTTTGCTTTGTGAATGACGACGTGGACTTCGGAACAAGAGCAAGAATACTAGCAACCAATAGGCAAAGCGCACCAATTAACAATGGAAGTCGAAATACATTATTTAGAGAGTAATTAGAAGTTGAAAACACTGCCAGATTGAACATGACCGAAGTGGCAAGACTTTTCAAGTTACAAGACCGGGATGACGGTGAAATGCAGCGTGATGAGAAATGGAAAATAGAAGGGAAAAAGGACATCTCCTCGCTATAACATAGCAATGCTATCTCGATGATGACTTGGAAACATGACTTTCTCGGATAGAGTGAAGCTACCCAAAATACCAGATAATTGTCTGTACAAGGACAGAGATGTCTCAACCTGGTACTACCAATGTATTCGATTTATGACACCTACCATAATTCCTACCAAGCTGTAGCTTCAGCTCTAGCCAACGTTAATACATCAGAAGGCATAACATGGTAGTTTTTAAGGTAGGGGTTACATTTGCGAGCCTTCTAGACTCGGGCTACTACTACTAATGAGCAATTTCATAACACCACATCTCCGATATAAAACCCACAACCCCAAGAGGCAATATACAGCAAATACGGCAACCCTATCTGAGATGCGAGTGGCACATTCCAAGTGCAGAAGCCGACCCGAGTTCAAAGCTCCGAGTATGTGCTCAGCCTCCACGACATGACCCGGCCTGTCACACATCAGCTCAGCGGGGTTCCGTTATCCGCGTAGGTAAGGGTTGTCTGATTGGTACGGGGCTTTTATCGAATGGCTGCAGATGGTCCTTCTCGTGGTTGTGAAACGTGGCACAACCGACATGAGCTGCAGTGTGCGAGTGTCCCGTTCCGACGGCGTCGTGCCTCGAGGGGAGGAATCAAACCTGCCGATTGTCGGTATGGAGAGAATAGGTGCCCTGGTTACATGAACTCGAGAGGTGCTGGTGCGCATCGCGAAGGCGCAGCCGGAAGGAATCCCGTCACGTCATGTCCCCTTTTCCCCCTGAGCTGATTAATTATATGCACTGCAGCGTGCATGCTCCGAAGCCCTGCCGGTTCATCACATTCGACATCGTATGCACATAAACCGATCTTTTTTTCCTTCTTGCATCCGCCGCGCGCGGCACACAAAATATTGAAGCGTCTCCATGCCTTCGGAGCAGCCGTGTATGATCTGCCAACTGCCGTCCCCATGAACCGGGTAAGAGGTGATAAGATTAACATCCTGTCGAACTTATTTATGGCCACAGACACACACAAGCATTGTAATCGCCAGCAGGGGGCTCAGGATTGGCAAGTGTAATGCGTCATCATCGAAACCCGGATTCTGCACCACCCGGACCCGATGCCGAATGTCTGCGTGGGATGTTACTGCAGGGGGGTTGCGGGGACCTAGGTGAGACAGTGTCGGTCTGGTGTTTTGTCCTATCACACCCACGTTTTGTTTCAAGCTCCCTTTGTGTTCTGTATGCCATTGCTTTTTCCGAAGACACGAGGGATGGCTGTTGCCTGCCGAGAAGCGGGTATTCATCTTAGGTAGTGACATTGGAGATGATTAGATATCGGGAACAAAATGCAACTGTTAGGTCTAGGTGCGGACCAGACAGGCGATTTCGGGCCCGGGTTGCTGGAAGGCAGATTGAACATGATTGTGTTTCTTTTTCCTTTATCCGTCCGCTCTATTGAATCGATCAGCATTAACTGCAAAGCTACACTGCTAATGCTACTTGAAATATGGTTTGTTTTCTTTCCAAGCTTGAAGTTTGTGGAACGCAAGCCAGCTCAAGTTTGCGTTCCCCAGCCTCATCCTTACCGGCTAAAGCGGGATCAACACCGACAAGCTCCCAAATCATCGAATGCTTCTGCAAATCTATGGTCCGTTCGGACATGTTCGGGCCTTGAGAAGTGGCTCACACGTGGTCATTGAGCTCGGTGTAAGAAAGAGGTAAAGGCCAGACCTTCACCAGTGACAAACTACTCGGGTCATCAAGGCTAGCCTGAAAAGGGGCTTCGAGAAGCACCAGTGACTTCAAACCAAATTGAGGC